ATATTTTTATCGATTCCTTTACTATCAAGATATTTTTAGCGATATTTCTCATAAAAATTCAAATATTTGCTATGACCTGTTTTATAATATTATCACTTTTTCGTTATAACAGGAAAATAAAAACAAACACAATAATAAGGATGATTTCATCGTTGTGGAATCACCAATTCGATAGATTAACATTTTGAATAGTTTATAATTATTTGAATTATTCATCTTCAAAATGGATGTAAAATTTTTGACATTCAATAACATGCATGAATCATCTACCATTGTACCATCTAGATGCATGCATAATAATAATAATAATGAATTATACATTGTTACAGCATGATACGTAAAGGATCATTCATAGATAATGCTGTTATGATTCGGAATGTCAAAATTATTGTTAAATCTAAGGTTTCTTGAGTGTATTTAATGTCTGGGAAGGAGTTTATTTACTAAATAAGTGGGTTGTTGTTCTTTAACCACTTTGTGAATGAAACAGGCGAAATGCAATTCTCCTCGATTTTGCATTTTTAACCACTTCAGTTGATTGATTGATCTCTGTAATTCAAGCTAAATATTAATCTAATGCAGGCGTTCTATATTTTCTGAATTCTTGCAGAAGTTATGGAATCGATACCGTACTTGTGTGTTATAACCTAAACAAAAGAAAGGTCAAATGAAGGAAACTGCTCTGTATTATACACTGCAGAAAGTTCCCAACTATTCAACGAAATGTAGGATAAAAAAATTGAGTCCAAGTACAACATCTGAACACGTTTCAAATCCGGAAACATCATCCGTAGTAGCCCCACAAAAACCAAGCCACCAAATGCGCACTGCGATTCCAAGAATTGCATTTTCCAGATAACCTGTGATGGCGGTGAAACAAAGAGGCCATTGAGAGTCTGAATTGCAGTGCACAAGAAAACACACAGCGAGGAGGAACCAGCAAATGGGGAATAGAAGAGCATGTTTGGACTCATCAACAAAACATCAAGTGGTCTCGAGCTGAGATCATCCACAGAGGGACCACTGGTTTGAAAGGAAGTTCAAAGAAGCCGCATATATGTTGTCCAACGACACATTCAGCCAAACAAGCGTAGCAGTACGCAATATATGGAAGCCTGTAATCCATCAAAAACGGTCAACTCCCGTTGCAAGGTTAACTCCTGGTAAACCAGGGAGAGAAAAAGTGAAAGCACTCGAATGACCTATATATAGTAATCTTTCGAAGGAATAGTCCAGTCATCACCCGAAGATGATTGTGTCTAAGAATAGAATCGTCGTGAAGTAACTTGGTTTCCCGTTATAAAATATTATACTTTCATGAACTGGACTATAGGTCAAACCTTCAATCAACGTTCACGATCAACCTTTCCATCAAATATGTCGTCCCTTATCGAGTAACAATAGGTGTGTCAAGGAAAAGCGCAACCCACTTGACGTAAGAACGAGAATTCATTCCTATATTGGTTGTTTATAAATCTGATTCATTCAGTAGTTTGCTGTACTGTAATTTCGTACGGTTATATTTCGGTTATGCAGAACTGGAATTAATAAAATTCCACATGAAACCTAATGAAAAAAAATGTAGCCAAAAACTCACCAATACTTTATGTAGACGAATGTTGTTCATCCGTCAATTAACGATCGTAGATATATGTTAAAAGTGCGATCAATATAGCAACAAAAACCTTCGTTTCTTCAAAAACTGTGAAATGATTTTTCCGACCGCTTTGGCGTTAGCTGGAGATGATGACAATCAATGTGTGACGGTAGCAAGCTTATCAAAATTCTGGTGTACCGAGTACTTTTCAATATATTTGAGTTGATGTTTCGCCACTACTAGAAAGCTGCTGGAATCAGTGGAGTATTTGGTTGGTCGAACTCAACAATTCAATCCAAACAAGTGAAAACATATAAAGATGTACATAGACGTTACCGTTATTGTACACACCTATTTTCATGTATTTTAAGTAGATATTACCATCATTTCACACTCATCCCTATGTTGATTTACTAGTTGATTTACATATACGTTACCGTCTATTTATGTAGTATACAAAGGCGTACTGTACATGCAGTATCTACTGTGTATATACTGTTCGTCTATGTACAGTATAAACTAGGAATTTACTTACTGTACTTCTATGTACATATTCATTCTCATGTATTTCTAGTTGATATTTGTCAATGTACAGAAACGTTACCATCATTGTACATATCAATTCACATGTATTTTATGTTTACATTGGTCAAAGTACTGTATATGAACGTATTGTACATAGAGTATGTACTATTTTTTTTCAATACCTTGGGAGCTGTCTGACTTGTCCATTTAGTCCAAGTCTCCAAAAAACACCACAGCCTCTTGGGCTTATTGCGTGTATTCTCCCATCTTCTCATTCCATCAGTCTCGTTCCCTGTACTAGTTTGTACAGGTTTCGTATTGGATGTTCGTCATATTCTTCTGGACGTAATTTCGTACGTCCATATATTGCCTGCCTCCTGTCATTCAGTGCCTCACATTCGCATAAGATGTGTAGAGCTGTTTCTATCCCTTCGTTGCATAATCTGCAGCTGTACAGCTCCATTATACAGCCTCATTTTATTTAGGTGTCCTCTAAGCGGACAATGACCGGTTAGTAACGCTGTAATTATTCTGAGCCGATCTCTACTATATTGACGTAGTTCTTCGGTTCTTTTCTCAGACGGTTCCCTAATGAAGGTTGTACTGTGTTTGTTGCCAGGTACTTTTGTCCAGTACTCTGTGTTATTTTTATTGGTCCATGTCCTAATCTGGTTTCGTACCAATGATTTTGGTACCCCCAGAGCTGGTTCAGGACCGATATATGAAGTTGATGATCCGCGTCTAGCGTATTCATCAGCTTTATTTTATTTACCTTCCTGAATGCCCTGGCACCCCGTACAAAGTTAATTTGTTCCTGTTTGCAAGTTCATTCAGTTCTTCATAGCATTCCCAGAACAGTTCTGATGTCACCTTCGATTTTGTCAGAGTTCCTAGTACACTCTTTCTTTTTGTTGAATTGAATTGAGACCTCATTTCTTTGAGGTCTCAATTCAATAATCCTTGCACGCAGCAAGATAGCATGCACTTCCTTCTGAAAGACGGATATGTATAATCCTAAAGGATAGCTGTAGTTTAAATTTCTATCCGCTTGGTATATTCCAGCTCCCGTTCCATGTTCGGTCTTCGATCCATCTGTATACCAGATGTTTTTTCCAAACATGAGTCTTTCACTCTTCACGGCTTATGATTTTAGTCGTGAAGTTTGTGTTAAAGGTGTACTTCGGTGTCATGTGGCACATATTCAATATGTTCTCCATTTGTTCCGACATTTCTGTTCGGTCCGATCTTTTGAAGTTCGGTGAGTTTTCCAGTCTGAATTGGCCTATCCTAGCCTCCCCCATTATCACAAAGTGTGAAAGAGGTAGATTCAGGAGTATCTCCAATGCAGCTGTTGGAGTAGTTCCCATTGCTCCCGTCATTCCCAAACATTCAAGTCTTTGCACCTTGCCTAGTTTGTTGATGGCGGTCGCCTGCTTTATCTTTTGCCACCAGACCAGAGATGCGTATGTTATCATGGGTTTAACCACCATCGTGTATAGCCAATATATCATGTCTGGTTTTAGCCCCCATGTTTTTCCATAGGTGCGTCTGGCGAGCATCAGTACTACCTCCGCTTTCCTCTTTATCCTGTTTAAGTGTTGGTTCCAGGTCAGTTTGGAATCTAGGATTACTCCCAGATATTTAACCTTCCCCGACACTTGTATTTCTCCACCTCGGAGTTTTAGAGGTCCGAACCCCTCCGTTTTAGTCCTCTTGGTGGATACTACTATGGTGGATTTGGATGACCTCATGTTAGGCCCTTCTTCTCCAATGCATCTTGTTAAAATATTCAGGGTCTGCTGCATTCATCCCTTCATTATTGTATTTACCCTGGACTAAGATGACTAAGTCGTCTGAATAGCCTAGTGCTGATAGCCAGTCCATTACATCGAGAACAATATGCCTACAGGTCAGGTATGTCAACAGAAATGGCTATATGTCGGATAACAGAAAAAGAAGAACATACTCACAATGTAGTACAATGTAGTACAATGTAGTACAATGTACTATGTACATACTGTAATGAATCTGAAGCCGGCCCTGACCGATGTCCCAGTCAGCAAACGCATGACGCATCGCGAAATACCGCGAAAACTCCGGATGGGTCCCGAAATCCGCAGAGGGATCCGGAACGTTCGTTGACGATATAAAAACGTCGCTCTTCGTCCCGAAGAGTAGTCTGTACCAAGAAAGAGAATCGAGCGGTTAACAAACGGTGAAGATGAATTAAGCGTTAATTACTGAGTGGTGTAAACAAATTAGTTGTGATAGTGAAGTATTGTTAAAATAAATTTGTTTAAGACAGTTAATTCTTTAATTCGTTACAATACTGTATGTCTATGTACAGTATGTCTATGTACTTAAACAGTAACGTCTGTGTACATTCTTCTGTATTTATAGTAGACATTGATCAATGTACATAGACGTTACCTTCATTGTAGTCGATTTTTCGAAAATAAAACAACAGAAGTATCTGAAATCAGCGCCTGAAATCATTCTGAAGAATAATGAGAATGTTACGGCATCAGGACAGATTCCTCATACCAAAGTTCCGTTGCTGAGGAGTGGACGAAAAATCAAATTTATGATATTATTCAATTGTTCACAGTTCCTTTAAGAAAATCTTGAATTAATTATCACTCGAATTGAAAGGTCTTTCAAATGATATATCAGTTAAAAAGGTTGACAACTTGCTCTCAAGTTTTCATTAGAATATTCTATAGATAAGGTCATTTTGTTTTACTCTAATATCCATTCCCGTTCGAGAGTTGAAAGAGAGTGGGAGAGGGACTTATTATGTTCCCACATCATTTTCATCTTTCGTATTCGTTTTTGTCGAAATCCGTACTCAACATTGGAAAAATCATAAAAAAATTACCTCTCAGAGCCGTTTCAATTTCAGAGTCCTGATACTCCAGCGCCTGCAGCCGTCGGTTGGCTTCCCGTAGTTCCGAAATCAATCGGTCGGATTTTTCGTCCAATTTCACCTCCAATCTAGTTAGCTCGTATTCTATTTGTTTCGCGTCGCAGAGTTGCCCTGCGCCATTCCTGTGACGGGAGACGAAAATCGGGTTTTCGTAAGGAGGCTGTAAAATATCATATCATCAATCATAATTTTTTGAAAGGAAAGTTACAGGGGGTAGGCTGAAAGTTGATGAGAAAGGGGGATGGAAAATACTGGTTCATGCCAGATACGGAATTTTTGTTTTTCATTTCATTTTGTTTTTCATTTTTTTTGAGGTGATATGTTCAAATTTCCTTGGCTATATGAACATAATATAACGTAATACGTACAATATATGATGGAAATTTTGTTTTTGGTGAGAAGCGTCACAAAATTATTATTGAATAAATGAAAAAATAGAGGAACTACTATTTGACATCATAGAAAAAATGAACTCAATTATGTTTTGACCCTTTGACACACAATATGCAATATTATACAGGGTGATTCAAAAGTACTTTGACAAACTTCAGGAGGTGATTCCTCACAATATTCTAATATGAATTGTCCAAATGAGTAAATGTCCGGAAACGCTTCGTTTCCAAGATACAGGATGTTGAAGTTTGAAGTTGAGCCCAAACATGGATGTTTGGGCTCTCGAAAATCCGCACGCAGTCAGTGAAAGGCATTATCAGTATCAATTTTCTGTAAATGTATTGGCGGCAATAATTGATAATTTCTTAATAGGTCCTTTCTTTCTTCCGCTCCGACTGAATGGCGCAACTTACAGACACTTTTTAGAAAATGAATTTTTATTTCTTTTTAGATATCTAAAATGTTGGTTTCCAATAGGGAAACAGTAGTGGTCAGTAGTAGGTTTCTCCTAACCTTGGCCTTCAAATATTCGTTCTCTTTCTATTATAATTTTAATGGAAATGAAATTTCGTGAGTGAGCGAAAATTTCAATAGAAATTGGATGAACTATCCATCACTGACATTCTTGACATGATAACGATGAGCAATGCCCGGAAGAATATTTTAAATTCGTATTCAGCTACCAACTAGAAAGTGAAACCGAATGAAAAATAACAATGTCAAATGTTCAAACTGAGCACTATTTACCAGCCTGGATTTCAGTAGTCTAAAGCACTTGGTAACTAGTTCCCGTAGGGTGCTGCGTCTCGTAGATTTTGATTTGAACTATCCCCATAGAACAAAGTCCAGTGAACACATATCGTGAGATTTGGGTGGCCAATCTCTAGAACTTCTCCTTTCAATTCATCAACCCAAAAAGAGCAACTAATGAACTGGTACTACGCAATGAGAGGGAGTCCCATCTTGTTGACAACCTACATTATTTTCCCATGGAGGATCTAACTGAGAAGCGTAGTTCATTCTTGGCATAACTTGATTATTCAGGTTCACCATTTAGGTTTACTTTCAAAAATAATGGTGCTATGATATGATTATGCACCTAAGAGTCCTGGCTGAACATTCGGTTTCTGGATATATTTGAAATCACTTTGACGTGTTATATTGGGGTTTGAATCATTTATCCATCTGACAATACAAACCCACTATTCAATTGGCTCTCAAAATGAAAAAAAAATTATAAAACAAGAAATGACAAACGGAATGATAATTCGATTTAAAATCGGGAAAAATTAAACACTCTTGTGATAAAACCTGGCTAACAGTAAATACTTTAGAGTATTTACTGTTAGCCAACAACAAATCGAGGACTGAGTAGATGATAATTCAACACCAAATTGTTTACGTGAATAAGACATTTTCCTCAGTGATCGCTCATTTATATTATTTTAATTTGTATCATTCAGATCAGTTTCAACATTTCAAATTGTATATTTGTGTTGAGATTGACTTTCCACTTTGACAATGAATGAAAACCCAAAATATTATTTTAATTTGTATCATTCAGATCAGTTTCAACATTTCAAATTGTATATTTGTGTTGAGATTGACTCTCCACTTTGACAATGAATGAAAACCCAAAAGATCATTTTAATTTTTTCCGACATTGGACCTCATTGTAATATCAAATATGTTACAGGGCTGTACACAAAATTACAAGACCTTTTTCAAACAAGGTTTACCTTTACTGTTATTTTTAATTGAAGTTTTTGATATTGAGGTTTGTTGTTGTCAACCAAAGTTGACTTGTTGCACGATTTTTAATGAAATGATATTTAGCACTAGATGTGTACTTGAACAGAAGATGGTCTCAATATTTACTGACCAATTTATGGTGGCTTATTTCGACTGAAATGCAATGCATAAATATTATGATATCATTTGGAAGTTATTTTTTTCAGGAACTTCCCGTTCATTGAAATTTCAAAATTCTTAAATTGGAGGAATGAATGTTCAATGTAGTATTCATTCGTAACAGTTTGATAGTTTTTTGTGATTCATTGTAGCTTCATATGACAAAACTATATAGTTTTACTACTTGAATATTTTCACAAATTTTATACTAACAGTTTGTCATGATAGGAAATCAGCTATGTTTTGAAAAATTTAAAGTGATTATCTACTTTTTGTTTTGAAAAAAGGCAAATACTTTATTCTTATTGTATATCAATGCTTAAAGTATACTTTAAAAATTTAACAAAGTGATAAAAGAATATCGAGCAAAAATAAATCAAAATTCGAGGAGTACTAACTTTTTTTTCGTCAATATTACGATCTGAACGAACCAGCACTTTACTCTGAACGATTATCACCACACTCAACGCAATAAAGTTCAAAAACATCACTCTAGCCATACTTAGCCTATTATTATATCACTACAACTGAGCGTATTATTGAATTCTCAATAAAGTTATATTAAGAATACGTCTACATTAAACCCAAGCGAAAAAATATTATAGCCTCAGAATCTCAAACGTGTTTAACGCCGCGAATGTTTGGAACATCAAAACGAAGGCGGAGAATGGATTACACGGGGATTTATACGAGGGTACGACGATTTCTTCCATTCAAATTCAAAAATTCAAATTCAAAATTTATTGCATCCATATCCTATTAACAAGAAATAGATCGGATCAGTCCAAGTTCACAAATTGAATTGTGTGTGATGAATATATACAAATAAAATGACATACATAAATGATGGTTTAAAAACAAAATTACATTCTTGAATATTATGAAACATCGAGTCAAAAACTGAATTTGAATCGGGTATTTCAGTGATGCATACTTCACCGCCTGTGAAAAATCACACAAAAATAAAGTATATGAAGAAATATGAGAATGTCAGCACTGAAAGTCACTTACGACAAACAAGTTCGAATTCACGGAGGGAGTAGAAGCATTCTTCGGCCAGTACTTTCTTCAATTTGCATTTGAAGATATTTGGACTTCTGCTCTCTCTCAATTCGAGGGGCAGAAGGTTGAATAGACGAATTCCAGTAGTCACTGGAGTTTTTTTTTGCATGGAGTGACAAATTTTCTTCGGTAGGATATTTCTTTTGTTTCTGGTGTCATACATGTAAATATCGCAATGCCTTCTGAAGCTGCTTAGGTTCTTGAAAACGTGAGTCAAAAGTTTTAATAAATAAATACAGGGCACCGTGAGAATTTTATTACTTTTGAAGGTGTCTCTGCATGATGGTCTATAAGATAAACAGAAAATACGTCTAATAATACGTTTTTGCAACACAAACACTCTTTGTAGTTCGGACGCTTGACCCCAGACAACGATACTATATGAAATAGCGGAGTACCCCGGAGCATAGTAAACTTCAAGCAGACAATCTCGTTCCAGCATGTTTTGGAGTGTGGTGACCACATAAAACAAGAACTTCACCATTATAGATGGCTAAATTGATACTACTTCAAATGAGAGCGGTAAATGCAGAGGTGTTCTATGTTTGCTACAAAACTCTATATATTCCGTCTTATTATGATCAACCATAAGTTTATTTTTGAAGCACCAGTCCTTGAACTCTTTTACGATTGTGTTGACCTTCTCAGATAGTCTCACAGATGAAGTATCTGACACAGTAATGCAAGTATCATCTGCGTACATAAGCACCCTTCCTTGAGATATGTGAATGGGAAGGTCGTTAATGAAAATGAGAAAAATTAGAGGACCGAGTACGCTTTCTGTACCAATATCTGTTTCAAACTCCTCCGAGATGACGTCATCAATCTTAACAATGAACTTTCTTCGTTCGAGGAAGGACACGATCCACTCATTGATTGGGCCGCGGACCCCAAGGTTAGTCCAGCCGCTTCCTTGGCTAAAGNAGATATTATTTCGTTCTTGCAGAAAATCGCAACTCCACCGTGAGATCGGTTGATACGGCAGTAACAACTCGCTAAACTAAAATTGTTAATCATAGTGCTCTCAATACTGGCTTTACTCATCCAGTGTTCACTGAATAATAAAAAGGAAAAGTCGTACTCACTGATCACCGATTCAATTAAATTGATTTTATTTGAGAGACATTGAATATTTATACTAAAAGAATATCAATAACATATTATAAAACAAGTTCCCCACCATCTCTCTCTCTGACTGGCTCAACACGATGAATTGAAAACATCCAGAACGGATTTTCATAGGTTTCCACCAATGGTCGGTATGAGGGAGTTCAATGTGTACAGTTTTGCATACCCATGCGCATACCAATACTCCGAAACGTTCCTTTGGTATCTCAGCTATCTCGATCAGCTATCTCTATATGATCTCCCAAGCTGAGATCATATAGAGGGAGGAACATTGGTTTAGGAGGAAACTCAAAGAAGCCGCATACATAATGTCCAACAATGTATTCAGCCAAGCTAGCGTAGAAATACGCAACATATGGAAACTCATAGCCAAGCGAAAAATGGTCAACTTCCGCCAAACGGTTATCCCCCGATAAACCGGTGAAGCGAAATAAGGAAAGAGTAGATAAGTAGAAGTACTCGAATGACCCATAAATAGTGATCTCTTGGAGGAATTAGTCCAGTCATCACCCGAAGACAATTGTGGATACAAACAAATCGAAACTTCGTGAAGTAACTTGGCTTAGAATCTTTCAATTTTTATTTTTTTGTTTAATTGTTCTATTTTTTACTTGTACCTAATTTCATTGTCATTTCATTTCAAGGTTTTTCGCATAATATTTCAGGGATATTTGTATTGGGTATTTCAGGGATTTCAAATCATTGCATATGATATTAGACAATAGAAGTCCGAACTAATGAAATTCATCATGAAACATTGTCAACCACCTTCATACAAACGAAATTTGGTTAGTGAAGTCATGACAATCTTGATTTTTGGAGTGACAGGGCAGACTCAATATATACAAAAAAATGTTTGAGCTAAAGGGCTGCAATTGATTGGAATTCAGTGATAGGACCATTATTTATTGTGGTGGGTTCAAATGTATCTGCATCAACAAAGTTTCGACCATTAAACAATAAAGTTGATGTCAATCGGAAGAATCAATTTTTGGAAAATGATTTAGGAAGAATGAGTCAATATATTTTTGTTAACTCATAGCTATTTCAATTGGTAATTATACGAAAAGAATATAAAGAAGTTATACTCCCTTCTCAACCAAGTTTTTTTTTGTATTATCAGTACTAATTTCCTCCAAATTTGCGTGCATTGGAAAACATTTTCCAATAGACTTTAATTACGAATCACATACTGTAAAGTCTTTATCGAAGATATGATTGACAACATATTACCAGATTATACCTATTTTCATCAGCAAATGATTGATTATGTTATTTGTGGATAATATCACATTTCCGGTTGATTTGATATATCGTATATTCTATTCAATTAACAATAATTCTACGAACACTTATAGTGAAACGTCACCTTTTTGCATACCTTATCTTATAATCATAATGTAGCAACATTTTTAATATTCTGTTCTGAAGCAAGGTTCTCAAGAAACATGAAAATATAATGATCATATTACTTCTTGTGCTATTCTGATATATTTCAAAAGCCAAGAAGCACGATTTTCAATTAAGTTCCATTATTTTCCATCGAAACTATCCATGTCTCAGATGTATGTAAATAAAATCACAAAGCATTGTCAGAGATAAAAACAAAAAAATACACTATCTGATTGGACCCGTATTTATTCAGGATAACGAAAATATTTGATATCATCATACATATGCCTGTGATTTCAATTCAATGCAATAAACTGAATTGAACAATTTCAGTCAGTCTTCTGGTTCTAATCGGCTTTGTTAAGAAGCTGAGTTCATTTTATGGAGTGTGAATATGTTTGAGCCACAATAAGCCCTTGCGGGTTGCGGTGGACAATCGAATAGACCCACTCACTTCAGACCTAACCCAACCTAGTCTTTCGTTCAACTATTTTTGGTATCTCAAGTTTTATTTGTGACATAACCAATCGCAACAAAGCCCGATAATGAAGCAATTGTTATTCAACACCAAGCAGCGCTGTTTCGACCTTCCTCAGTGGTGCAATGCTGAAACACAAATTCCTTGCTCACTTTTCAAATGACCGCTGTGGAGACCCCCGTTAATCTTTGATGTTCTTGAATTGAGTCTTCTGCGTTCATGATCACCATCGTTGTCAAATGTTTGGTCAATTTTTCGGTCAGTTTCGGCAACGATATGGTTCAATTTAAATTCGTAGAGGATATTTGGACAGAAATCGGTTAACGATATCATATGTATAGTAATTAGCTGAAAAGGGGCAAAAATAAAAAAAAAACGGGCAGAACGTCTGAAACAATCCGATGAAATAACTGAAATTTTACTGAGTTTGACTACCATAACCTCAGCCTGATATATTCAAACGAATGTGGATATGAAAACTACCTACAAGAGTTTTTAAAGAATACTGGTCAGCTCAGTCAATATTATTATGTTTCAGGCCCAAAATTATTCCATTTGAAAGAGATCAGATTGGACAATTCATATAAATTGAAAATATCAGTGGGTAGAGGATGGATCCTTGGGGACTACCTACTGTGTCTGCAATGTTGTTCATGTGTCAATGTTTCGCAGAGAAAAGACATTATTCTAGAGTGTCCAGTGGTTTCAAATTTGTAATAGGAATAGTATCCTTAGCCTTTCGAAAACTGAGATGAATTTCAGGATTATGAGTGTCCAGGCAATCATGTGTTATGGAAATCAAGAAAAAACAGGGCTGTACTCGTCAAATTGTTTTTGATGACTTCAAAGAGATATATAGAGAAGAATAAAATTATTTTCAAAAACTGGTGAAAACTCAACAAAACTCCGTTTTCTGATTTGTATTTTGTTTATATCAACATTATAGTCACTGGATGATCATAGTTTGATGGCAAAACAGTAGAAAAATATAATGTGTATTGATTTTTTGTTTTCTTTTGAGATATAAAATGCATTCAACTGAATTTTGTGGATATCAACAAAGACGTGAAAATACATTGATTTGCTATTTTTCACTAATTACTTCTGAACATGTTTTCGTGATGAAACAATGTAATTAAAAATCTTGTTCATGTGATTAGAGCTTTAATTTCGTTTGAAAACTATAACATTCAGTCATACCTGATCACACATTACTGGTTTTTGCTTTAATGACCATCATTTATATTATATCTTACTCTTTAATTTTTCTTTTAGGTTCAAACAAACAAAACGTTATCAGACAACACTACTTTATAATGAAGACGTTGGTGACATAAGATCTCTATATTTTCATAGCCTATGTATATATGCCTACAAATAAAAGCAATATCAGAACCATCCTTCACATAACTATACAACCAGAAGTACTACAAACCATCACTTAAGAATACCCAACTGCAACAAAATTATTGTTCATAGATGTTTAATATATACTTTACCTAAAGCATTCAACCTTCTTCCATCCAGTATAAAAGAAAAAAAATTCAAGAAATTCAGTGTTCTATCAAAAAAATATATTTTTCATAATTAT